CAGGAGAAATTCGGGGAACTATTAACAGGAGAGGAAGTCTTTGGTGGATGGGAATATTAGGGTGGACACAGAGGAATGTGAGTGCTTGGCAAAGACAGGGCAAAGCAGGGAGGTCAGTGCCAACTCCTACCCGAATAATCCCTCCTGCTCTCCCGCAGGCGATGTGGCCGGAGGTGGGAGGCTTACTGCGGGGGACTTGTGGACAACTGGGCCGGACTGGTGGTCTGCCTTGTGGGGCCCTGGGGCCCGGGCCCCACTGGTGGGTAAGAGACTGGTGGGGGGGGGGGTGCTCCAAGGGGAAGAGGCTGAGAGAGGCTTTAGGGAGTAAAATGGCAGGGAGGGCTCCAAAAGGGTCAGGCAGATCCCCTGTCCTCTGCTCATTACCAATATCCACTTTTCTTGCAGGGACCACGTGGGGGTTCTTGGGCCCAAATGTTCCATAAGGATGGGCCCGGCAGAGGCCTGGGTGAGGAGGACATTCGCAGGGCACGGGAGGCCCGGATGAGGAAGACACCCCGGCCCCAGGTATCATTGTCTCCCACCCAGCAACGCCCCTTGAAGGCAGCTGGCCTCCCAGGCTTGGGGAAGGGTATGGCGGCAGGTTGGTTGGACAGCCTGGGCACTGTGCTCACCTTCCCACCCTCAGACTCTCTCCCCATTTCCCAGCTGAGCGACCGCTCTCGAGAACGCAAGGTGCCCGCTTCCCGCATCAGCCGCTTGGCCAACTTTGGGGGTAGGTGTGACCGTGGGAAGTTGTGACCTAGAACAGAGGAGGCCACATTTATAGAATGAAACAGGGAGGGGGTGAATCAGAGACAGGAAGAGGAGCGAAAGACGGAAAGAGAAGGAAGGCAAACACTTGCAAAGCCAAGAGAACCAGAGAGGAAGGTAACATTAATAGAGAGCTTGGAGTGTGCAAGGCCCCATGTACACTTGATCTCTGCACAGAATTGATGAGTGTTCATTTCCATCCTGTAGATGAGGAAATGGAGGCCAAGGCAAGAGAAGTGACTTGACCTCATGTTATACAGCAGGATTGTTCAAACTTCGGGTCACAATCTGCATGAAATAATTCCATGGATTGCAACCAGCATCAAAAAGAATAGATTGGAACATGTGGGTGCACATATAAAGGAAATTCGTTTCACGAAACATTACACGTATGTTATATATATACATATGTATCTCACATATATGTGTGTATATATACATATCTACTCTTGTAATGCAGATGTCTTTTTTAGTGTGGATCATAGTTCAAGTTTTAAAGATACTGATTCACAGTATAAAGAGGGAATCAAATGTACTGGTTAGAGCTTTGATACCAGGCTCAAGGTTCCAGGGGTTGATTCTGCTACATCCTCACTTTGTGACTCTGGACGAGTTACTTAACTTCTCGGAGCCTCAATTTCTTTTTCTGTAAAATGGAAGCTTCTCTGTACAGCTTACCTCCCGCGGGTGTGAGGACAGGATGAAGTCGTGCATGTAAGGCACTAGGAATGGTTCCTGGCATGTAGCAAGTGCTCAGAAAATGCCAGTTACAATTATTTACAGAG